ATATTGAAGAAGTCATTGAGATCCATAAGTTTATAGTTCAGTGATTTCAATTCTACTGTATGGTGGAATAAGACCAGAAAACATGAATTTTCTTTTAAATCCCAAATGAACATTGTTTTAACTAAGACAGCTTGGAGCAAATGGCCTTGAGAGAGTCAGTATGAAATCAGATAAGAGATTTAAAGAACTGGCTTATTTCTATCAGGTAGTAGGATACAGAGTTAGCTTCTTTCAATTTATAAAACATCATCTTAAAATTATAATTGCATATGCACTTTTTAATCTACTTGTTTTCTATTATAATCTCCTTGAGAATAGGAACGCCAACTCCTACCTACTTGTTTTTTAAACTTTATTATATTCAAATTCCCATAATAGCCAACATAATATCTTATATTATATACTTTAAAAAATTATTTGAAATTGCTTATACATTCCTTAATTATACTGAATACCTTCTATTGGCTCAGCACTGTTACTGGTACTAAATTATAAAAAAAAAATGGTTGAAAGCAGTTGACAGTCTGTCCATCAATGAAATGGGAGTGGGAGAATGTAAAGTATGTTGTTTAATTCATATGCCAGTATGTTTTTTAAAAGAGAACCAGTTTCTGTGGGGCATATCAATGGGTTTTTATATGTACTAAGTTAAATTTCCCCTGCATCTTCCCCTCCCAACTCATATAGTTAAAAACAGACTGTAATGAAAGTAATATGCCCTAGATATGCTTCTGATTGTTTCTAGTCAAAGTCCCACTACCAACAAATTACACACACACACACACACACACACACACACACACACACACACACACACACACACACGAGACAGAGAGAGGAAGGAGAGAGGCAGAGAGAGAGAGAAGAGAGAAGAAGGAGAGAGGCAGAGAGAGAGAGAGAGAAGCTTTGAATACCATGTTCTTGGGAAAACTGATTATACCATTAGCTGGCCAACTATCTGTTTTTCTTTGCAAGTTGAGAACTGAATGAGAAAGAGACCACAAAAACTCAGATAAGATATATCATGAGGCCCCAGAGGTACACGGGAAACACCAAGACCTCATTTTAAGTTTCCAATACACACAAAACCAGTGGAGGATTCTGAGATCTCTGAAATAATCTTTCTTATATTGGAAATAATTTGAAGGTATTTCTGCCTTTTCTAGTCAACAGAGGCCGAAGAAAAGCAATTATAGTACCCAATGGTCAATCACAATAAATCATTTGACTGCTGTTCCCCATGTGCCTCATTCTTAAATCATAACTGTCCACCATCTCCTTACAAGTGCTTGTTTGGATGATACTTTACTGGAAACCCTTTGGCTTGAGGCAAGGAAGGAGAACTCAGACACAGTACGATGGAGTGTAATCTAATACACTGTAAATTAAGAATTCCAGTAGGATATTTTAAAAAATTTATCCCCAAAGAGATTCAGATAAATGTAAAATAATAGTAATAAAAACCAACCAAATAAACAAAAGACATCTAGAAAGGAAATAGAATGTTTTTACATTAGTATTTCTAAATGGGGATGTGTCATATCCTTTTTGTGCAGATAGCAGTTGTGATATAACTGCATCACAATATGAAGAATGGGGAGGTGGACTTGGTGGCTCACACTTGTAATCCCAGTATTTGGGAGACTGAGGCAAAAGAATTGGCAACTCAAGTGGGATAAGAATGAACTCTGAAATCTGGCTGCTTGGGCTCAAAGACATCTTTACTATGACTTTTGGAAAATTATTAACTTTTCTGTGATTAAGTTTCTTCACCTGAAACATTAGAAATAGAAGGTAATAATGAACTCTATAGAACTAATGTTAGGCAGGATAAGACAATAGATGGCACAAATGTGAAATGATAAGAATCAGTGATTGAACTAAAAGCATAGTGGCTTGGATGCCTTATCTATGGAACACTTTTTATATAGTGGCTTGGATGCCTTATCTATAGAACACATTTTATTATAGAGTGGCTTAGATGTACTTATCTATAGATCACATTTTTTATACATTCTCTCCCAGTGATATATTAAAAAGCATATAAAAAGGTTCATATGGACTTGGAAGTGAATGAGACTTAGATTCAACCCCCCTCACCCCCACCCCTCTGGTTTTTCAAGCCAGGGTATCTCTGTACTCAGTAGTTTTGGAATCTGTCCTGGAACTCTTTCTGTAGACCAGGCTGGTCTCGAATTAACAGAGATCCACCTGTCTCTACCTCCAGAGTGCTGGAATTAAAGGCATGCACTACCACTGCCTGGCTTAGGTTCAAATCTTAACTCTCCATTATAGTAGCCATGAGACATTGGATAAGTTATTCAGTCTCCCCATGAGTCAGTTCATTATCCTTTATGGGACAATAGGACTAACAATGCTCCACTTATATGACTTTTAAGATAAAAGTCAGGTCACATATTTAAGGTGTCTGGCTAATGTAAACAATCCTGTAAGGATGTAATTGCTTTACCAATTAAGTGCATTCACAATTCAAATATTCATACTTCTTCATTTCCTGTGTATGTATCTGGGTCTTTAGTGACTGAACATTTTCTTGTGAATATGTGCATATGTACTAACAGGTTCATGAGTGTGTGTGTGTGTGTGTGTGTGTGTGTGTGTGTGTGTGTGTGTGTGTGTGTGTTAGACTGTGAAGGCTAGAGGTCAACTTTGAGTATTTTCTTTAATTGCTTTTTAAGGACAAGGAAGGTCTCTCCTAGAGCCAGGGAACCCATCATTTTGGCTGGGTCAGCAGGCTAGTGAGCTCTTGAGATCTGCCTGTCTCAAGCCAGCCAGCTCTGGAGTGGGATGCTTACCACCTTGCCTGGCTTTTATATGGATATTAGGGATCTGAATTCAGGTCCTCATGCATGAGCAGTAGGAACTTCACTGACTGAGCCATCTTCCCAGCCCCAAATCAACCCACAATTTCTCAATCAATTCAACAAGCTATGCTCATATTCATTTGGAAGAGAAAATATGAAAAACATCCAAATGAAAAAGAACATCAGGAAAATTTCTTAACTTTATATACAAATCTAAACAGTAATTGAGTATGTACAGTATTGGTATAGATAAAAATATATCTAAGAAAAACAATGAATAGCAGGACTATATATGGGGATTTTTATATTTTTGGTTGTGAGCCTAGCCTTTAATGGCTGAGCCATCTCTCCAGCCCAATATATGGGGATTTTTATACACCATATAAGTAGCATATTTGTATAAGAGTAAGAATAGGCTATTCAATAAAACACTGGACCCAAATGCCCATTGCAAAAAAGGCAAACAAAAACCCAACAACAACTAATTTTCTACCTCATTTCATACACTAAAATAAACCCGATGGTATACAAGGTCTACAAATACAGCTAATAAAAATAAAGAACACTACACAAAGATCAGAGAAGGCCCCATGTAAAACAGACACCTGGAAAGCTATCTTTTTTTATCGTGAAATAAAGAAAGCTCTTGTACTTCATCCTTGCATTGCTATTTCTTTCCACTAACAGTAATGGTGCAAATCATAATCTTTAATGTGGTACTCTAGTCATTATACAAAAATCTTCCTGTACTTAAAATGTTTTAGCTTTTAGGAGAATGGATTGATGTAGCAGGGCAATTTCTCATGCATTAACACTAAATATAATGAAACAATTTTCAACCAAGCAAGTGGGAGCTGGGTGTTGGTGGTTACAGTGATTCAAAACCTAAATGAGACATAAAATACAATAGAAGCCCCAATTTCTGAATTAAATGTAACACTTTCTGTGATTCTAAGTTGTGCTGTGAAATGAATTTCTCAATATTTACAACCATTTTACTTAAGAGCAATGATTCTAAAACCTAGTACAAGAATTAAGTCTTAACCACTTTAGATTCACTAAGCAAAGCAAACCAAGATTCTAAATGCATACTCTTGGTAATTCACAGAGTGGCTGAAAGATAACACTTTGACAAGGTATTCTTAAAAGCTTTATCTCTTAAGGTTTTATTCATTTGGAAGTCTTTCAATTATGCATTGTCATGATTTTACATTGAAAAGTGATTTGTAACTGACATACAGCAGATTTAGAATCTATTGTATTTCATTCTACAGAAATGAAAGATATCACAAGTACTTCTCAGAGCTATCAATAGGCAGAGTGTAGGCCTCTTCCATTGCTCCCAGAGTTTTTGCCCCCTAGCCACTGTGCCTTCACCTCCACACTCAAATGTCCTCTCACTTTCCCAATTGGGTAGCAAGCAGAAACTCTTTCTACAGTTTAATAAGGAATTTCAAAGTTAGGAATTATCAGGAAATTGATAGCCACCTATTTTCTAATTCCTTATTATTCAATAAAACTTGTGTTTCGATCTTTATGACAAAGTTTCTATCCGACCTTTCCTGTCTTTAGGGGAGGAAAAGAGAATTAACTTTGAGTTTCGGGGAGACACTCGTTCACACCTAATGGAAAATTTCAGGATATAATTTGATACTTATTTCACTTGGGGGGGGGGTCCGCAGGGGGTTCGAGACGGAGTTTCTCTGTGGAACGTGTCCTGGAGCTAGCTCTTGTAGACCAGGCTGGTCTACCGCCTACCTCTGCCTCCCAAGTGCTGGAATTAAAGGCGTGCACCACCACCGTCCGGCCCTTACTTTTTATAAAAACCTCTTTTAACGCTATTTGTTCTCTGACAACCTCAACTGATTACTTTCCACAAAAAATTCTATAAATGTAACAATGCGAAACGCTTATGAAAATAGTCTGAAGGAATTAGTCCTCCAACAGTAGTAAATAAACCTCAAGTCTAATTACTAAAGACATAGACAGTAGTCCTTTGGCATTATCAGTGGCGGCTTTCGAGAGGAAAAATCTCCAATTTGTGACCGGAGAGGTCATAAACTCCTAACCTCCAGCCCACAGCGAAGCGGTTGAGCCCTGACATGCTTGCCCAGGCAAATCGAAAAGATTCCCGGGCTTTCCGGAAAGCAGCTACGCATAACCCGACATCCTCACCTGAGGGTTCTCACGTCCTGGTTCGTAGGGACCGAGGGATCGTCATAAACATGCAAGGCAGAATCAGAAGCCCGGCTGGACCGAAGAGCCAAACGACTGTCAAAAGAAGCCCATTAGCCCTCAGGAGGTTCCCCCAAACAACTAGCTTACCGCGCGCCCGGGACACCCACCAGTTGCCTAGGATTGCGACTACAACTCCCAGGAGGCTGCGCGGCGGACAGAGCGGCAGCCCTCCCAGAATGCAGCGCAGCGCTTCCCTGTCAAGCTCTCTCCTCTCCCTGCTCCGCCTCCTTCCCTACCCGTCATCACCCGGGAGGGCCGGAGGTTGGGAGCGTCGTGAGCCGCCGGGAGGGGCCCGGGGCGGGGTGGAGGGAGGATGGGAGGACGGAGGGGAGGGAGCGGCGAGGGGAGGGAGGGTAAATAGTGGGCCCGGCAGGAAGATGGCGGCGGTAGCGGAGGGGTGAGCGGACCTGGGTCTCTGCCGCTGGCTTGGCTCTTCCTGTCTTCCTCCCCTCCTCCCTCCCCGACTGAGGTTGGCACCCAGGGGGCCGAGTTCAGGTGGCGGCGCCGGGCGCAGCGCAGGGGTCACGGCCACGGCCACGGCGGCTGACGGCTGGGAGGGCAGGCTTTCTTCGCCGCTCGTCCTCCTTCCCAGGTCCGCTCGGTGTCAGGCGCGGCGGCGGCGGCGCAGCGGGCGCGCTTCCTCCCTCTTCCTGTTCCCTCACGCCCCGGAGCGGGCACTCTTGGCTGTGCCATCCCCCGACCCTTCACCCCAGGGACTGGGCGCCTGCACTGGCGCAGCTCTCGGAGCGGGGGCCGGTCTCCTGCTCGCCTGTCGCGCCTCCATGTCGGATAACCAGAGCTGGAACTCGTCGGGCTCGGAGGAGGATCCGGAGACGGAGTCCGGGCCGCCTGTGGAGCGCTGCGGGGTCCTCAGCAAGGTGAGCAGCGTCCGGGGCCGAGGACCCGCCGCCAGGGCTCACCTGCCGCGAGGCAAGGCGAGGCGAGCCGCTCGGGACCTGGGGTGGGGCTGGACCGAAGACTCCCACTGTCCCGGGGCGGGGGCTGCGGAATGTGCTGGGGTGCGGGGCCGAAAGGTCCGCCTGGAATGAGTGCCTTACCAGGGGTGGGATAGGAGATGTTTAGGACTGTCCTCCCCCGACCTCGCCACCCCCAGTCTCAGGGAGCTTGTCAGCTTTGGCCGAGGACCTTGGAAAGCGTGTATTTAATCCGCGATCCAGTTTAGAAGGCAAGGTGCATCTGGTAACTTGGAACCTAAGGCGGCAGCTGTCTGGGGTATAGGAATCTGGGTTGGGCAACCGTGGTGTCTGAAGTACTGGACGCGAGGTCGGTTAAATGGACCTTTCAGACAATATTGTTATGGTGGTCCCCACCAGAATAGGTTGGGGCGGTTTTCAGCTCTAGCGGGTTTAAGCAAGCCAGTTGACTGGGTTTGGCCTTGAAATCTGAGATAGTAAACTTTGAAGTGTGAGTGATCGAGAATGTAGAAAGCGTGTGCAGCACTTTTGTACTTTACCCCTCCTTACCCAAGTTCAGAAAAAGAGCTATTGAATTGTCAGGCTTGGATAAGAAATATTAATAGTAAGTTGGAACGTGTCATAGTGAAGACCCACCTGTATAAAGTTCAGGAAAAGGAGCATTTTTAGTAATATAGTATTTGTGCATTAAGGAAAGACATTTTTGCCCCCCCCCCCCCGTACTTTTAAAAGCTCCTTTTAAGTTTTTTGGTTTTTTTTTTTTTTATAGCCTAGACAGCATTTATAGGGCTGGAAATGAGTGATCTTGTTAATACTTTTCGGTGTGTATATTTTACATTTTTCTTGTGGGAAGACTCAGTCTTTTTGACTTACCAGTCCTTTCCTGTTAAACTTTAAGAAATGCTTAGAGCTAACAGTGTTTCCAGAGGGAGAGTCGGGCTGGTCCCTTAACAAGCTGGTCATAAGATACCAAGTCATGTGATATTGGCCATTAAGAAATCACTCTGCTTCCAGTGTTCTTGAACATCATTTCTGGAATTGTTTGAGATTAGGCTATTACAGTGTCTTTAGCTGAAGAGAAAAGGCCTGGGACAGACTTAAGTATGCCAGATGCAAGGCATCCAAGTGTTAAGTTTTATTTACATAGTAGAAAATTTTTGTTTGATGCTATGATCATTCTTGAAATTTTAATGTAATGCTTTCAGTAAAGTGAAGCTTCCCAGCATTTGTTTAGATTTAATGTATCTTTATAATTTAAGAATCTGTACTGAACATGTTGTATAAGTTTGCATTTTCAAATGGTTATGAAATGGGTTATCTCTCACGATTCTGATAGTTTTATTACTTGTCATTAGATGAGTAGGAGACTGCCATATTAGTATATTGTTCAAGTGTTTCATGAAACAAGCTATAATTTTTGGTTTTTGGTTTTTTATTTGTTTGTTTGAGACAGGTGTCTCTGTGTAGACCAGGCTGCCCTTGAACTCACAGAGATCCTCTTGCCTCTGCCTCCTTGAAGGCGTGTACCCCCACCTCCCTTGTTACTTTTGACTTCTTGATCTGGATCATCACTTTTTGCAGAGTGAGAGATTGGAATGGCTGATGGGAAAAAAAAGTCATATGCTCCGTGATCTATTGTGTACAGAGTAGTGTATGAAGTATAATATGCGTTCATTTAATCCTAGCACCCAGAAGGCTGAAACAGGAGGTTGCAAGTTCCAGATCCCATCAACTATAAAGAAAATTTTGCTGAAATATAGGAATTTATAGTTATATAGTCCAGTGTACTGGTGCACACCTTTAATCCTAGCATTTGGGAGGCAGAGGCAAGTGGACGGCTGTGAATTCCAGGCCAGCCTGGTCTACACGGTGAGTTCTAGGACAGACAGCTACATAGTGAACCCTGTCTTGAAAACAAGCAAAAAAAATATGTGTATATATATTTGTACATACATATATGTGCATACATAAAATTATGGTTATATATAATGTCTTATTGAAATTTTTCTTTTTGTATATGTTTGTGTATGCACATGTGTACACCTGCCTAAAGGCCAGAGATCTAAATTAAGTGTCTTTCTAAATCCTTCTCCCCCTTATTTTTTTGAGATAGGGTCTCAAAGTAAACCCAGAGCTTTCAATTTAGCTAGGCTGGTTGATGAGCAAGCCCCTAAGATTCTCCTGTCTCCATTTCCCCAGCCTTGGAATTATAGGCGTGTGACTGGCATTCTATGTGGGTGCTAGGGATCAAACTCAGGTTTTCATGCATGCGTAACAAGTACTTCACAGTCTGAGCCATATGGCTAGAAAGTGCTTTGTTTAGTTTTGAACCTTGCTAGAGAGCAAACCCAGTGGCATCATGCATGCTAGGCAAGGGAGGTGGGGGTACACGCCTTCAAGGAGGCAGAGGCAAGAGGATCTCTGTGAGTTCAAGGGCAGCCTGGTATACACAGAGACACCTGTCTCAAACAAACAAATGCAGCCTCATCAAAGGAACTTTATACTGTATACATACACTCACATTGTGGATAATGCATGTTTTTAAGCTTAAAATAGGTGTCTTTTGTAATTTGAAACCTTTGTAATTTACCTGATAATTTAAGCAAGAGCTAATTTTCAATATCTGTTTTTTTCCTTCTGTTGAGTTATATAGATAAGTCCAAATAGTAATCCATTTTCTTTCTTGTTTCATAAAATGGGATGGGTCTGGAATTGAGGGTATTGAAATTTGATTAAAAATTATGCCAGTTCAAAAGTTTTTTTTCTCTTTTACATTGTAATCAGAAATACCTATGAGACATATTTCTTAATCATGTCTGTTCCAAAAATACTAATTAAGTAGTAATTCCATGTAGTTAAGACCAATAGCATGGAACATGTTGAGAAAGGTTCATACCTTGGTACTTTAAGGCAACTAAGCCTGGATAAATGAAATCTTAGCCTATGTTTTCTGGGTCTCTCATCACATGCTCATGTTGGCTACTTGCTTTCTTGCTTGAGGCAAGGTCTCACTATGTAACTCTGGTTGGCCTAGAACTTGCTATTTAGACCAAGCTATCCTCAAACTCACAGAGATTTCCCTGCCTCCTGTCTTCCTTATGCTGGGATTTAAGGTGGAGGTCACCGCTTCTAGTTCTTTCTTTTGAGGTAGAGCCTTGGTGTATAGGCCAGACTGGCCTCTAACTCATGACCTACCTCCCAGAGCATTAAAATGCTAGGATTATAGGCATGACCTAGCATACTTGGCTCTTTAACTCCAATCCAAATGCTGTCCTTCCCATAAAGCCTTTGAATACATAAATATTCAATATCTCTTTCCATTGAATCCCCCTTTCATTTTGTGTGGAACTTGGTTCTCTTATTTTTTGTTGTTAAATTTGTAATTGCCAAACTTAGCAACATGAAGGGATCTTTGATTATCCTATAATAACTGGCATGCAACATTGCCTGCATTATAGAAACAAATATAGGGACAGAGAAAAGGCAAAATCCTGCTCTCATGGAATAATATAGCAAATAAAACATTTATTGAGTCCTGAAGCTTATGCCATTTGTTGGTTCCACTATAAGAATATAATACAAGTTATAAACACACAGTCAATAGAGTTCCTCTTTTCACTTTAGAAAGGATCTAGAGAGAGATGTTGATGGTTAAGCTTCTTTCTCTATGTGTAATTATGCCTTAAACTGAGTTAATAGGGCAAGCCAGAAGCTGTTCTAATCTCTTCTTATGTAATCTTAAATCTTAAGAGAGAGACTTGATTGACAAACTCATAAAGGCTAACATAGCCACAATTACAAACTAATAAAAGATAATAATGGGCATCAAGGTAGGATTAGTCTATAGAAGTTCTTTCTTCTTCTTCTTCTTCTTCTTATTTCTCTTCTTCTTCTTCTTCTTCTTCTTCTTCTTCTTCTTCTTCTTCTTCTTCTTTGTTCTTGTTGTTCTTGTTCTTGTTCTTGTTCTTGTTCTTGTTCTTGTTCTTGTTCTTTTTGCCTCCCTGAGACAGGGTTTCTCTGTGTATCCTTAGCTGTCCTGGAACTCACTCTGTAAACCAGGCTGGCTTCAAACTCACAGAGATCTTCCTGCCTCTGCCTCCTGAGTGCTGGGACTAAAAGGCGTGAATCATCACCACCTAGCTCTATTGAGGTTCTTAAATGTTAGTTTGCCCCCTTTAGTGTAATGGAGAATTGGAAATTGTCCATTTAAGTTTCCAGGCTGGAGTCTCATTAATATGCTGAATAAGTTAACAAGTGTACTTAATAAGATTATTCTTAAAAGCAGGTTAAGAGGGGTAAGACTTCTCAAGAATCTAGGAAGCTGGCCAGGTGGTAGTGGCGCATGCCTTTAGTCCCAGCATACAGGAGGCAGAAGCAGGTGGATCTCTGAGTGAGTACCGGGACAGGCTCCAAAGATACACAGAGAGACTTTGTCTTGAAAAAACCAAGAATCTAGAAATAGAAAGCTGATCATTTGATTGGAATCATTGAAAGTTGGGAAGACAGGTAAATTTAAAGGTTGATATCAAGGAAAGATTAATAAGATTTGGTGATAAACTATGGGGAAGGAACAGTCAGGTATTGGGTGTCCTGTATAACTGTGCTTGTCATTTTCACTATTTTATTCAGCCATTCAAACAACATGTGAAAAAACAAAAGTTAAGTAACCTGTCCAAGTTCTCCCAGCACAAGTAGTAAAATTGGGTCTGTTTAGTCTTGTATCTGGTGTTAAGCCAGTTTTAGTCTCCATGACTGCAGAAATAGTAATACAACCAAGAAAACAGGAACATAGGGAGGAAATACACCTTATAGGGGAGGTGATTTCAGTTTTGTTTGGAATTATTGTTTGTTTCTAATGAGTGTCTAAGTGCTGGTTGAGTCACAACTGTTAGAAATAAGGAAGTAGTGCCCAGAGACCCCTTAGAAAAGAGTGAGTAAAATTGTCAGCATCGGTGAGCTCCCAGAGATGGCTTAGAATAATAAAAAGTGGAACCAATCTCAAATGTGCTTAATTAAGAAATAGAAACATAAAAGATTTCTCAAATGGGTAAAGAGCCTCAGCTGATGCATTGTTTAATAATACAGTTTAAATTTGTTTTCAGAATTACGTTAAAACACTAGACATAAATAAAAACATGAAAAATCAAGTATTCCCATCAAGTTAGATTTCTGCCTTTGCCAGCTTCTTGATTATGATCTTTACTCTGTATATCAGGACCTTAGCAACACAAATCATGTTGGATGATTCAAATGGTCCAACTGTATATTTGTACTAGTACTTCTGGGTTAGAAACTTGTAAATGAATTAATCATTTTAGATATGTAGTCATCAGTTCTATATAAGAAAAGTGAACTTAATGAAGGTTAATAATGCAGATTTTTTCTTTGATATAATTATGACCATCATACCATTTTCATGAGACTAATGTACAAGAGTAGCATTTTGGTGGTGATTGGCTTTATACTTCTTCAGACGACTATACAATATTTGGTGTAGGAGAGAGACCACGTAAACTGATTTGTTGAACATGATACTTTTTATAGGAATCAGAACAATTTAAATTTAAATGAAGAAGGGAAGTTGAAAGTATGCAAAGATCATGGCAAAAATTTTTAAGTGCAGAAGAAAAATGTTGTATTTTTTTATTTCCTAGCTAAAATAAAATTACTGAAGGTCAGTATATGCTAGAAACATCTCCTTTTTACCATTTAATCTTTTTACTGTTTATTGTAATTGTTACAGCTTTTCAAAGTTTTGTCTTAAAATTTTGGAAAGTCTCAATTTCTAAATACTGACTTTATTTTTTTCCCTCTCTTTCTCTTCTTCTCATCCCCAGTGGACAAACTATATTCATGGGTGGCAGGATCGTTGGGTAGTTTTGAAAAATAATACTTTGAGTTACTACAAATCTGAAGATGAGACAGAGTACGGTTGCAGGGGATCCATCTGTCTTAGCAAGGCTGTGATCACAGTAAGTACCTTTCCCTACTCAGTAGGTATTCAACAAGTATCAACTGTGTATCAGAACTGCTCTCAATGCTTGATATAGAGCTGTGAAATCCTTGCCCTATCCCCAGGAGGATACTACTGCATACTCTAAAGATTTTATTCAGTTGGCTTTTCAAACCAATTTAAGTATTTCAGAATTTAAAAAAAAAAAAATGTCAGTAGGTTATTTCATAGCTGGTGGGATTGGGACAATTTGTAGGTTATTTTAAAAGTACCCTTACTTAAATTATGTAATGAAACAAGCATACATTCATCTACCAACTTTTTCACACAGGTCTTATATCATCTTATATCATTTTCTTTAAGGGAGTTTATAGTTCTATGCTAACTTTTTATATAATGCGTGGTCTGTTGCCCTAAAGTGGAATAAACACTTTTTGTTTTGTTTTGTTTTTTGGGTTTGTTGTTGTTTTTCAAGATGGTTTCTCTCTGTAGCTCTGGATGTCCTAGAACTCACTCTGTAAACCAGGCTGGCCTCAAATTCACAGAGATTGGCCTGCTTCTGCCTCCTGATTTCTGGGACTAAAGAGGTGCTCCAGCACTCCTGGCTGGAATAAACACATTTGAAAATACTTTTGAAATACACTAAGTATAAGCTTTTTCTGAATTTTCAGATTTCTTAGAATGTTTAATTTTAAAACACTACATCACTTTTGTTTAGCTATCCTTAGTTTGCATAGCTTTGTTTTCACACTGTATGTAGTCCGTGACTTAAATAATATTAAAATAAATAACATTATATTATGTGTGAAAACTAAATTGGCATAGACAGGTTTAGAAACCAACAATTGACTTTTTAAGTGTCTAACACAATTATTAGAATCAAAGTGTGTTGTTATAACACATTAAAAAGGACTATTGGTTGAGTATGGTCAGTATGCCATAGACATTTTTTTTTTTTTTTTTTTTTCCCCGGAGACAGGGTTTCTCTGTGTAGCTTTGGAGCCTATCCTGGCACTCTCTCTGGACACTAGGCTGGCCCGAACACACAGAGATCTGCCTGCCTCTGCCTCCCGAGTGCTGGGACTAAAGGCATGAGCCACCAACGCCTGGCGCCATAGACATATTTAATCAAAAGCAAAAACATATTAGCTAAGGCAGGATTGTTAAATGGAGATTAGCTAAGGGAGTCAATAGTTTAAAATCTAAAAATAGATATACTAAGACAAAAAACGATTCAGATTTTTATTGATCCACTCAAAAGTCAAATTTTCTTACAATAAAATCTCTTATAAAAGTAAAGGTATCCTTGGAATTACCTTTACTATCTACATTTGACTTACATATTGTTTATGTTTTGCATTTAAGAAAAATCTGGCAGTATTTTTTCATCTTTTTTTGTATATTCTATGTATTACTACCTTATGTATTCAAGTTAGAAAACAAAATCATAATTGAACATTAAATTAGTAAAACAGGGTTTGGAAATGTTAATATAAAACTACTACTGCCTTCTAGAGACAGTTTTAAATAAACATTTTGAAATTAAAGACTCGGTATTCATCTTGATTGTTATGTGGTAAATAAGTTTTCGACATTGTATCTTTCCTTTTTGTCATTATTTGTGTGGACAGAATGATGAATGGAAATGTTCTCTGTGGTCTTGAGTCTTTATATAGTCCTTTTCTGCTCCCCTTCTTTTACAAATTAATTGCAGTATTGATTATTAAAAATAGGGAGGATTTATATTTTATCTGTATTGTTTCCTAAGTAGTAGTATTCCCATAGTGGATTTAAGTGTAGTTATCCTGTTTTGAGCTATAGACTGTACTAACTTTGCATTTGGGTAAAAGAAATTTTAATAAACATGTTTGTTGTATCTGCTGGGAGGAAAAACAGTTCATTGCAAATACTTTTGTTACAGTTTTATTTGTTTGCAAAACTTTCAGTGTGGCACATAATCAAAGGAGCTGGCAGGAAAGTAAAGCAGTTTCAATACTCTGGAACAAGTGATTTAGTGTGACTATATTAGTGGGCTAAGCAATAGTAAAAAAAATAGAAATTAATAAAATTGGTCTTTAGATACAGTACATTTGATCCCAGAAGATATGCATTTGGTTTTGTGATTGTTTTCAACTTCCAGTGTATTCCTTGCATTTCCTTCATGGTCTTTTATTATGTTATTTCAAGGCAATTACAAAATAGAAATGAATACAATGAACTTTTCAGTTTGAAATTTACAAATAGATACTTATATTTTTAAAAGAAATTTTAATAATAATGTTCTTTGTTATATAAGTGTCCTTTGTTGTTTTTACCCTTAATATGAGCTATTGCCTTTATCACTTCCTTTCTGAAAACAGAGTAAATATTAACATTGAATTTGTTGACATGGTGCTATTATGAAATTACTTGTGGTATATATGTGTGGTAGTGAGGGTTGAACCCAGCGCTTCAAATTCTCTACCATTGAGCTGTTTTCCCAGACCTCTTACATTTTTATTTAGTGACAGGGTCTCACTAAGATACCCAGGCAGGCTTTCAACTTGGAATACTCCTGCATCAGCCTTCTGGAAAGTTAGGATCACAAACCTGAGACACTGGGCATATTTAAGAGTTGTGCTTTTACTGTAATGATTTTAAAATATTATTTGCTGGTAAATCTAGTGTGTGAGCTTATTACCTTTGTTGTGGAACCTAATCTATTATTACCCTAGTCTACTCCAATTCTAGTTTTAATGAGTCATCATTATAAAAATCTGTTCTTTGGCCTGTGATGCTTGGGTGAAATAATTTAAAGAAACAGTGTTTTAATTCTAAGGTGGATAGATTAAGAGTATGTAGATGAAAAATCAAACAAACAAAACATACCCCTTCATTTTGTGAAAAGGAACTCTCTGTGTTGGATTTCTCAAGTAGTAAAGCTTAATTACTTGCTTAAGACTCAACCTGTGGTATAAAACCTGTCAAAGTGATTGTAATCAAGCAAATGTTTGCTAGACATGGTAGTACTGACCTGTAATCTAAGTGTTTAGGGTTGATGGAAGGAGTATCCTTAGCTCTGTATCCAGCTTGACCACGGAACAAGACCCTGTTTTAAAGACACACACATACAACACACATCAACAAACAAACATAGATGTTTATGGAGTATTTAACCTTTTTTATTTGAAATTCTTTAAAAAAATAACTGAACATCATCAAAAATTGATGTAGCTATTTAAAAGCTACAAAGCAAATGCTTATCTTTTTTCTTATTCCTGAATTCAAGAAGCACCCAAAGTTATATTCTGGATTTCCTCCTGAGACTTTCTATGTTTACACAAGCATCTTTTATAGCCTTCATTTTTATTTACACAGATGCCTTATTAAACTTCCTGTTATGCCCTTGTTTTGTCATAATGCAAAGAATACTACTGCCTGCCATGATGCTCTTTCAAGAAAGCTTTGCTGCTGCTTTGGAGGCTTGGGTAAGGGAGGATGCCACTGAGTATGAGGCTTGTCCTGGCTAATGATGAATTTTAGGCTAGTCTAGACTACAGAGTGAGATCCTGCCTCAAAAACAAAACAAGCACACCAGGAGGGGAAAAAAAGGAGTGCTACTTTTATATGAAGTATCAAGGAACTTAGGTTTAGGAAAATACTTGTCAAACTTTTAGATTTAAAAGGTGACTTACTATTCTAAATTTTGTAATTTATTCATTAGGTCTCATGACTTTGTATCTTCTAAATCATTTATATTCTTCAAATTTCTTTTATTTAATATTTATATGTTTATTTTTTGTGTATGAGAATTTTGCCTACAATATGTGTGTGCACCATGTGTGTACCTGGTGCCTGTGGTGGCAAGAAGGAGGTATTGCATCCCCTGGAACTTGAATTACAGTTAGGAACCACTATGTGGGTGCTGAAAACTGAACCTGGGTCCCCCGCAATAGCAACTGGTACTCTTTAACCACTAGCCATCTCTCCAGCCCCTTCTTACAGTTTCTTGTACATCTTCCCTGCTCCCCTAACTCCCTGCTGATTTATAAAAGCTCTTTATAAATCAGGTATTTGTTTTACATGTTGGGAATATTTTCTTCATCTTGTTTCTTTTATATTTTTATAAGATTTTTTTTTTATAAAATCCTACAAATTTTACACTTTTGTACTAGGTGTTCTTATTCGGTATCTTACTATATAGGTAGCTGCATTTTCATGTAGATTTGATGTTTGAATTTTGACTATTGGTTGAAATTATTTTACATTCAAGAAAGATAGGAAATGTAGCTTATTATTTTCCCAGTTAACCAACCATGCATTTTAATACCTTTACTTCATATTCCCCTTGAAATTGCTAGTTTTAGTATATATTATAAAATGTCCTCAAATTTTTCTTTATGTATATATGGCATGTTTAAGCCTTTCTATCATATTTAAAATTACTTTGATAACATTTCAGTGATCAATTCCTAAACTGCTAATAATGTTTGTGAAGAGGAAAGATGGGGGGGTTATTCATTTGTTTAGGAGTCTTTGTTTATATTTCCTGTGTTTGTGTGTCCAAATTTTCTTTTTATAAAGGACACCTATTTTATAGAAATAGGGACTTATTCTACTTCAGTGTGACCTCATTCTAACTAATTATATTTCTGAATAAGGTCTCATTCTTAAGTTCTCAGTGATGGTATGTAAACATCAAATTTTGAGGGGATGCCATTCAACCCATTACACAGTCTCAGTTAAGAGTAGAACCCACTTCTCTGCTTCCCATTTGATGTTATTTTGTCACATGCCATGAGCATAGGAAAATTGCCTGCGTGGTGCATTGTATTTTGTTCAGGACATACAGGAACATGACTAAATTTTTATAAAGTAGCTCTTTAAATTTTCAGTTTTTAAAAATAGATATTGTTTTAGAATTTCATACATGTATGCAATGCATTTTTTTATTTTTCGTATCCACTTCCACTAACTCCTCTTGGACCTCCTTAAACACATACTTCTCCCAACTTTATGTCCTTCCTTTTAAAAATAACC